CGCGTGTTACGCTCGCGTATTCGAACGAAATGTCAATCGTACCCTTTCACCTTAACTCCACCCTCCGCGCTCTGCCGTATTCGCGTTCTTAATCACGTATCCTGTTCACGTCCGCCTGTTTTTTTCTCTCCCTCCAGCAACCTTGCTCTCTCGTATCTACTCGTTGCGGCTCGAATTTATCAGCAACAGGATCGAGCAGTGAGGTCTAAACGTTTTGCCCGAGAGTAGTTTGCCGCTCGATCTTATAATTCTCTCGGATTTCTTTCTATGCACGGTAGCCGCAACAGGTTGCTCCATATCGCGTATTTTTCACCCATCCCCCGTGAAATTATGGCCGTTGCTGGATCTCACAGGTTTTCAGCATGGACGAGGACGAGAGGACGACGCCGAGCTCCGTGATATGTTGTTAAGGGCTTGTTAATTACAAAAGTGGCAGAACAGGATCGGAGGAGAGGCGAGGAGAAGAAGAGGGCTTGAGGTTGGCGTCGCGCGCCCGGTTAGGTTACCTCGTGTTTCCAACGAATCTGACGCTATTTTCTTGCCATAACGACAGGCTCTAGCCGGGCCCCATAAACGCTTAATAACGCGGCCCGATAAGATAAGTAATTGAATCGAGTAAATACATTCTAACGATCGGCCAGAGATATACGATTCCTGCTCGAATTTATCCTGCGGAATTTGCAATTCATATTTTAATCGCGGTCTCGCGTGGCCTGAGTATGCTAAGTGTGTCTGGCCAAGTGGATTCGAGCTGCTGGGCTCTTTTATGATTTCTACTGGCAGAGAGAGAGAGAGAGAGAGAGTGGTGTCGAGGGGAATGGATTCGGTGTTTGGACCTGTTTTCGAGGTAGATCGTTGTGCTTTGAATTATCTATCGGTGGATAATGAATCGAGGATAAATGGTTTCGATAGGATTTCTCTGGGTACCAGGTTTCATTAGGATGTTGTGTTAATAGGGAAAAGATTGGGGGAAGAATGGTGTGTAGATATGGATCGTTTAGGAATTTGTTGAGATGTTTCAATGGAAAATATGGAGTGTGAGAAAAATGGTAATGGAGTTGTTCTGACAGTATGATATAGGGTAACGAGAAGTTGATAATTGGTGTAATTAGAAGGTATTAATATTCTAGTTTAGAGTGTTGACTGTTCGTGGTTATACAGGATCCACGTCGGTGAAAAATTCCACTTACTCTTGTAGGAATTTCTTGTTGTTTATGTTTTTCCTCGTTAGCCAATCTGGTTACGATTTTTTAACTCTGCGAGTACTCGTGTTTTTAATTGATTTTCTTGTTTAATCGTATTAATGAGGATTATCTGTAGATCTTTGCATATGTAAGTAGAAATCGAGTTGCTGCAAAATTTTTTCAAATTTCTTTGCCTTTTCATTCGTTAATCTTTCACCGAAGAGATATGAATTATAATATACATGTGTATAGATCCAAACAAAAATCAGTTGAAAGTGTTTTCTAAAAAATTTCTTTTCTTTTTACTTTTAAGAAACACACTGCTTTCTGAAATTCTGAAAATATTAAGAAAACTACGAACTTTGCTACAATTTCATATGAAAAATTTCGTCAACGCAAAATTGAACTCCACAGCATCCAAGAATCACAGAACTGAATTTAGTGCACACGCATAGATTAACTCGTATCTCATCAGCGCTATAATTTTCCACGTGGCAATTATTACCGCACAATACGAATTCCGAACGGTATTAGGCGAGACCGCAGAGGGCGTGCGTTGGATCATTTCGCGTCTTCCACGTTTCGCGTAATCGCGATTGCGCGTCGTGACACATATTCCTGTTTATTCGTAATATCGCTGCGGTGGCTTTGCGTCACATCTGTTGCGCATCGATGGAATTGCTGGCCGATTCTCGCGCCTCGATTACACGCCGATTACGCGCAATCATAGACACGGCGATAGTGCTACTCCACGTCGTGCTTGCATATCAATGCGAATTACATTCCCGTCGGCTCGCTGGCATTTCAGCCGAGGGATCTCTTGATTCACTTACAATTCCTCTAAGGTTTTTCTAGAGACTTTTTCTCGATATTCTACGGAGAGTGCATGTTTTTGTCGTTATTTGGTAGCGATGAATTCTCAAAATGCCCATTTCGGTACTTCATTTGTAAAAAGTTAAAAAGAGATTTTTTGCCAACTAAAAAAGAGGATAATTTTTCTTCTTTTCTCTTAATTAACTTTCTTTATATCTTTTCAGTTAAAAAATTATTTTCAACATTAATTTTCTCAAACACAAAGCCTCGCATGGAAAAATTCTATCGTACATTTTCAACTGTATATCTTTTCACACTTTCAATTAAAGTTACTGATATTTCCCCAAGACCCTGACATTTTCAAGTGGATTTTTTCCGATCGTTGCACGCGCCTCTGCGCCAAAACTCGAAAGGGAAGCTCGTAGATTAAGACGACAGTTACATCGGTACGAAACTTTCCCCGGGGTGCATCTAATTCGATTAGGGGGATTGGTCGAGAGCCCGGAACTTCCTGTTTTATGTAAATACTTGGAGCCGTAGTATGCAAATCAAATTTCCCGGATGGCGGTGCTCGTTCGAATCATCGAGTAAGAATCGTTCACTCGTGAAACGCAAACTCCACAAAGACGTCGGATATTACCGAGCGAAGAAAAAAAAGAAAAGAAGAAATTCCACCGAAAATATACCCACCGTTTTTCTCCCTTCGACAATTTTGTTAAACACCGTAATTACAGGCTCGAATCGATTACCATTGAAAATCACCGTGTCTCTGCATCCATTGAATTCCGATTCGCTTTTGTAACGAGAACGATCAAAGACGCTGCAGCCCGAGCGACGGTCTTTTACTCAAACTATCTGATTTCTATTACAATGAACCGAGGCATTACTTATTCCGTTGATGTAACGGTAACGGGACGTGATGACAATGTAAACAGACGTGACTCGATTAGCATAGTCTATTGTTTCGTGGTGAATTTCTCTCCGTGGAAACACCGGAAGTTTGCGTACTTTTTTTTCTCTACGCCTCCCGAGAGCTTTGTTCTTCCACGACAAATACCAAATATTCACCGATTCCCCGAGTCGACGCGAGTTTTCCTTACAAATTAATCGAATTAAGGGAAAAGGACTGTAATTACAAGAAAGAACAGAAAAAAAGTAGAAGGTGTTAAAAACATAAAAATAGAGCATTTTATTGTTCAGTCACAGGTTTTTATTCTAATAATATCTTTCACGTTGTGTCGAGAGTAGTCTGCATAGGGGGTGTGTTGGAAAACGAAAAAAAAAAAAACAAAAAGAAAAAACAAAAATAATAATAAGACACAGAATAATCGCTTGCGAGGAAAGCTACAAGGAAAATATTGTTCTCACGTTTGTACATTGTATTTCGATCTCGTTTACAGGCGGCTCGCTTTTATTACTTTCCTTGCTCGAATCGCGTAAAGCTTCATTTTGAATCCGACCGTCTCACTGTCGAACACGAATTTACAATTCGTCGGAATAGAAAAAAAGAACAAAATACTCGATCGACGTTGTACATTTCTATGTGAAAGAGGATGAAACAGAGAAAAAAATAAACAGGCAGACCGTCGAATTCAAGCAGAGACCGCTCGCGTGTAAGCTCTTAATCGCGTCTCGAGCCACGAGAAGTCTCCGTTTCAACGTTTCCGGACGAAATAAATAAGATATACGGCTTGCACGCGCTTATAATACTTTACAAGAGAAAAACAGAGACGTAAAAAAAAAAAAAAGAACACAGGGGAGAGAGAAAAAATATAGAAATCGCGTACGCGTGTCACCAAGAAGAAAAAAAACGCAAGCTGAGACGCGTAGCTCTCGATAATGTTTCAGCCAGTCTATTAAGTACAATTAAATACAAAAAACGAAGAATTTGAATCAGCGCCGCTAGGATTCGATTGAAAAAGAAAGAAAAAGAGGAAGTACGGTATCACTGTGTCTCCCGATGAAACACGAACGAGACACGGAACGACGAGACTCTTTTTAAGAACCGTTCGCTAAAGAAAGAGGAATTGCTTGGAAAAATCGTTTCGCGAAGCTGGTTTCACGGAGCTACAACAAAATCCACACTGGTACAAAGGATACTGTCGACGTGTTATTTCGCGTGATCGTTCTACAATCAGAAAAGAAAGCCCTTTTTTCCTCTTTCTCTCGTCTTTCACCGTGCATTTCTCCTTCGCCTGTACGTTCGAAACAATCGAGGAGAAAAAAGAAAAAAAGGTGAAAATTCACAATGGCACCTAACACTGTTTTTCCGTGCCGCTTTACTAACGTGTCACGCCGCGAGAGAATATCGTCTCTCTCGTCCGACGAGAAAGAGAGAGGGAGAGAGAGATAGATAGATCCTCGACGCGCTGTTTAACCCTAAATTAACCCGTGAGCTTGATGAACGCAATCTCAGGAAAGATGGGAGACGTATTGTATATACAACGACTTTTTTTCTAAGCTTACAAAACTCACTGACTCGCTGCAAATGTACAGACACACCGTGGACCGCTAAAAGTCTCTCGTATTTATCCTCGTATATGTGTACGATCACTGTGAGAGAAGCACCTTAAATATCAATAGAATCACTCGCTCTTTATCCAGCTTATTTACAGTTAAACACACACTGTTCATCGTTTGAGTTCATCTCAACGTGAGCACACTTTTGTTTCTCTCTTTACTCTACCCTTCGTCTTTTCCCTCCTTTCTTATCCTTCCTTCTTTCTCTTTATCCAATATTTATACATACATAGATCGCGATTATTTACACTCTGTACGCCACACCGTATTGCACCCTAATGAAACGCACTGTGCTGAGAATCCTGCACAAACACACTCACACACGCACACACCGATCTCTCTCTCCCTTTCTTCTTCTTCTTCTTCTTCTTATTTTGCTTCTTTCCCTTTGAATTCTACGCCCACTCCTACGATCCACCGGAAGAAAAGCGATGCATACGAATATACACAGACACACGTAGACACAGGTGAAGAGGAGAGTTCTCATATGTGCACGGAGACAGTACGCGATCCGTTCGATGTCCTGTTGTTGTGCTGCCGTCGGACAGGAGGCGGCTGCCTCGTTCTCTGCGTGGTCCTCTGATTGTTGGGCACGTCCGGCAAAGCGAATCTCAATTTCTCCCAGAACAGTTTGTCGCCCCATTGCAAATACGTGTTGGTCTTCAGATAGAGCCTGATGTCCGGATCGAGATCCCTCTGGTGAACGTCACCGACCAGCACCAAGATCAATCTTCGTCTTCTGTCTCTCAGCACTTGATGGTGGGCTGATTTGAAGTCGAAACGACACCACTCGGACTTGATGAAATTCTCCGACAGTACCATGATCGTTCGCCTCGATGATTCCACCGCTTGGACTATCGTGTCGGCTATGAAGCTTCCGACAGGAAAGTCACGGTAGTGTAGGCACAATTTATAGGGAGGATTGCCCATTTCTAGAACAGGTGCCAGCTCTTCGGCGACGAACGCTTCGTCTTTCGAGCTGTAACTGACGAAAGCGTCGAACAATTTGTCCCGATCGTCTCTGTCCACCTCGTGATTTCTGTAGAATATTCTCACGCCGAATCTCGAGTGGAACCACACTCTGAGCTCTTGCCTGAACACGAACGCGAGCATACAGAGGAGCACTACCAGTAGCGAGCCGACCAACGTCGCGACCAACAGAGGAAGATAGTCCTGGAGCACCTGTTTCTCGATGATCGTCTTGGTGTAGTTGCGGTGCACGTCGTTGTCGATGCTTGCCGCACCGATGCACACGCTGTCGTTGCTCTTCTCGCGGTCGTTACTCGCCACAGAGAAGCCGAACTCGTTGTCCGCGAACACCTCGTCACCGAACGCCTCGAACTCCGTCACGTTGTACACGCAACGCAACGCGGACGCGTCTGTCACACGAACGTTCGGCTCACGGATCCACTCGCGGTAACTCTGTAGATAGTCGCACTCACAGGACCACGGATTCCCGGACAAACTGATCTCGATCGAGCCCGGTAAAGTCCACACCGCTAGTGTCGTTAGTTTGTTGCTTTCCAGTTTCAGAATTCGCAGCGATCGAAGAGAGGAGAAGGTGTCGTTTCCAATAGACACTATACGATTTCTGTGAAGATAGAGCAACTTGAGAGCGTCCAATCCTTCGAACTCGTGTCCCTTTAACTCTCGAACTCTGTTGTCTTGCAGATGTAGATCCTCCAGATCTCTCAGCCCGTTGAACGATCTGTTCTGAACGATTTCGATGTTGGAGGAGTTGAGGAAGAGCACTTTGAGCTTCTTACGACCGATGAAAGCGTGGCTGGACACGACACGTAGATCGTTTCCGTCTAGATAGAGCCTGGTCGCGTCCATTGGTATCTGTTCGGGTAGTTTGTTCACGTGCCCGCCGTTGGAACAGTCTACTACGTTCGCAGACCACGATTGATCGTGGTAACACGTGCAGTTTTGTGGACAGGTCATCTCGCAGTCGCAGGCGTCGAAGTCGCAGCAGTGACACAGTGCGAAACAATGAGTCTCGTACTTGCAGAGAAATTGCGAGTGCGACGCTTCGACCAGAGGGACGAACGCGTGTTCTCTGTCGTAGAGAAGCTTGCAGTAAATGCTCTCGAGGTCCATCACTCTCGGTTGAACTCTAGTCTGATTCTGTCTGTTGACTCTCTGCAACCATTCCATGGTACAGTCGCAGAGATACTGATTGTCACCGATGTAGAACTCAGGTAGAGATTTCTCGGGTGGTACGGCGCTGATTCGAAGCGCGTAAGGTTCCAAATTTCGTATCTGATTCCCTTTCAGCTCGACGGTGGTCAAGTTCGGTTTCTTGAAGAACGAATAACTCTGCACCTTGGAGATCAGGTTGTCGTTCAAATACAATCTCTCCACGCTCATTGGTATCGCGTTTCCGGTGATCTCCGTGAGCTTGTTCTCGCTCGCGTCGAAGGTGCTCAACTGCAGTTGACTCTCGATCTCGAAATAATTGCCGAGCTCGCGTATCTCGTTGGAGTGTATGTCTAACCACTGTAATCCGGTCGGTATCATAGCGTAGTCGAACCAACGTAGCTTGTTATCGCTGACGTTCAACCAGACGAGGTTCGGTAGATTGGTGAAGAGGCCGGCGATGTCTGTCAGTTGATTACCGTCCAAACGGATCGCCTGCAGATTGAGGTTCTCGTCGAAGGTACCCGGCTCGATGTACTGTATACGATTCATCGCGAGATTTAATATCTTCAGCTCCTTGATACGATCGAATACGCCCTTGGTGAGATTCCCAATATGATTTTCGGTTAATCGAAGACCGTAGAGCTGCGCCACGTGGTCGAACGTGCCGGTCGGTATCTCTGAAATGAGATTCTCGCCGAGGTCGAGGGTTCGCAGAAGGGGAGTGGCTTTCAGCGCGTCCGGGACGGATTTCAGCTGGTTACGGTTCAGGTGGAACTCCTGTAGGGACGAGGCGTTCCTCAGGGAGCTAGGGTGGATCGTGTGCAGCCTGTTGTTGTCCAACGAGAGTAGATTTAACACGTAAAGTCCGCTTAGCGTCGTCGCGTCGACGACAGTTAGTAGATTATCGCTGAGCAACAGAGTGTGAAGATTGTAGAGCGCGGAGAACGTGTTCTCCGGTAAATTCTCGATAAGATTCTCCTGTAGACGAAGTATCTGTAGGCTGTAGAGATCGCGGAACACCGTAGGATCGAGTCGAGCTATACGATTGTTCGACAAATCGAGCACCACTAAACGTACCAAACCACTGAAAGTAGCCGCGTTCACCCACTCGGCGGTCAATTCGTTGTGAGACAGATCTAACACTACCAACTGCGTCAGTTCACTGAATAAACCAGGCGGTAGCACGTTCAACGTGTTATTCCTAAGATGAATCTCTTGAATATTCCTCGCGTCGCTGAATAATTCTGGCGGCAGGCTGGCGAGTCGATTATCCCCGAGCCTCAAGATGGCCAACGACGAGAGTCCTTCGAACGCGCGGTCCGCCATGAAGCTGATGGCGTTGCACCGTAGATCGATGCTGTGCAGCCTGGTCAAACCGGAGAACGCCGCCGTGGGTAGAGATTCGATGCTGTTGTTACTCAAGTCCAGTTCTTTCAAGTTCGACAAGC